TATGACATCCACTGCTCTCCCCTCATCTACCCAGCCGGTCATTCCATCATAGAAGGCTATCAAGTTAGTCAAGCACGATTTCACCTTGGTGAATCCATGCTGACTACTCTTGAGCATCTCCTTGTCCTCCACGTGCCTGGAGACAACGGCCAGTATGAGCCGTTCCATCACTTTTCCAGGGATGGAGGCGAGGCTCACTGGCCTGTAGTTGCCTGGATCCTCCTTCTTGCCTTTTTTGAAGACTAGTGTGATATTGGCTTTCTTCCAGTCCTCCAGCACCTCCCCTGTTCTCCAGGATCTTTCAAAGATGATGGAGAGCAGCTTAGCTATGACATCCGCCAGCTCACGCAGCACTCTGGGGTGCATCCCATCAGGGCCCATGGATTTGTGGGTATCGAGTTTCCTTAGGTGCTCTCTGACCCAATCTTCCTCTACCAGGGCAAGTCTTCCTCTCCACTGGCTTCTTCTCTTGTCCCTAGGGCCTGGGACTCTAAAGGGCTGCCCTTGGTAAACACCTAAGCAAAGAAGGCATTCAGCAACTCTGCTTTTTCTGTGTTTTTCATAACCAGGGTACCCACCCCATTCACCAGCAGACCCACATTTTCCCTGATCTTCCTTTTGCTGTTAATATATTTGAAGAAGTAAATCCGTTATGTATTTGTGCCTTGGCTAGTATTTTTAGTCCTCATCCTTTTAACTCACTGTTGTAGAACTTAAAAAGGTACAGAAGGTACCAAAAAAGGGATGAGAAGAAATATGAAAGCATATCCACCCAAGAAATGAGCAAATCAACTGTGAATTGAGTGAGTGAGCAAGTAGCTTGCTATCTGTGGGAAGGAAAATCCATCAGCTGCAGTTAAATATGAAAATACAACCTTTCATTTAAAACGCCTCTGAGTCAAAGAAATTTCTGAAGCGTGGGACAGGATTATGGGAAAATATTGCTTCATGTTTTATCTCTTCTGGACTGATCAGTATTTGGTTGAGATGTATTATGCCCCTATTTCGTTCCTTGCTTCCAATAATTGCCCTGCTGACTTCTTTCATTGTAGAATTGAAAGAAATAGAAGTAGAGCTGACTTCTTTCACTGGGCTTTGCTTACATTGCCCTTTAATGTTATACTTCATATATTTTTATCTTACTGCATTTTACACCTTTGGGAATGTGTAAAAGGGATAGAGAGGAGGCATACACTTATACTTACTCTACAGCTTACAACGAATATTAGTATGTGGCCTGAAGGAGTGGTCATGAAAATGAGAATCCAGGCCTCTGAAATCAGCCCCAACCATGCTAACGATTATATATATATTTACATAACTTTTAATAGTTGCAGAGTTTCCTGTAGTAGTTACATATTTGTAATAGTTACATAAAAGTTGCACTTTTGGAGTGAATTTTATTGAAAAATGAACTCCCCATACTCTTCAAAAATCACTGTTTGGGGATCCCATGCACTAGTTTTGTCAAGGATGTAGTCACTGTAGCTTGTGTTCTTCTGATTGCATCGATAACTGTGATAGAAATCAATAAAAAATATACTTTATTATCTTGAAATGAAGGTACCTTGAATAAGCAGGATCTGGGTAACTTTCATTTAAACAGACTGTCTGCTAATACGAGAAACAAAAGCAGAAGCCTGGAGGAAAAAAAAAAAAAAGGTTTGCCACTTCTTTCTCTGGTTATTTAACATTAGATTACACTCACATAAAACCCTGTGCAAAAAAAAAAAAATCTTCTTTTTACCATTTGCTTTGTCACATGAGCTCTCAGTAAGCACTTCTCTGCTGCACAAACGAAGTGACAAGGGTGTTTAGCAAAGGAAAACCAGTTTATCTGAAGGAAATCCTGCAGAAAACTTCATAAAGAATTTTCTGAGAAGCAGAATGAATTTAGCCTTAGCTTTAGCTCCCTAAAAGCATGATGACTATGACTGTCTACTCCCTGTGCAACACTTGCCTTCCTTTGACAGGACAAGGGAAAAAATCTCATCTGAGTCCTCTTGATGTATCACTTCTAAAGCCCAGGACATCTCTCTTACACCAAACTGCCTCAGAGAATTTGTGAGTTAAGGCAAAGGTCTCATCCATCAAGGTCTTATGTTCTCATTTTTATACTCCTATGTGCTGATAGTATTTTAATGGAACAAGATAAGAAATATAGCATTAAATCTAGTGAGTGAAAAAAGCAAGCAAACAGACAAACAAAAACAGTTAAGAAAAAATGTCTTTCAGAGGTGGGGTTTATTGAGTTTATTGGGTTCATTGGGTTTAATACAGCAGTTCTTGTGCAAACAGTGGCTGCACTGAGATTGTTCAGACATGACGAATGTGAAAAACAATTTAAAAAAGAAAAGAAAAGCTCTGTGATTATTTTTAACCAGGGGTCAATGGTTAAATTGATGATTTGCATAAATGTTTCTTTAATTGCAACAAAATTCCTGTCACGGCAGTGCAAACTGCTGTCATGAAAGGAAGCAGTTATTTGTATGTCGCGGGTGGTGGTGGTTGTCGATGGGGCTTGTCCCCGGGGCTTCTCCTGCGTTCACAGCTCCCCTACCGCCATGTGCACCCACCCACACGAGCCAGCCCTGCCAGACCAATGGTCAACGGATCAACGGTTGCCAGATCAGTAGCTGCTGCCGCCCCGTGCCTCACGCAGGGCGCAAGGGCCGTGGTGGGCAGAGCCAGCCTGCTCTGGGTGAGCACTGTAGCTCCATTCAATTCAAATAAATAAAGAAAAATCTAAATACGGGATGCAACCAATTATGCTTAAAAGGGGATATACCATTCACCTTACCTCCTCTGTGAGGTGAGAGACGTGACCACTTCCCTTTCCCTCCCCATGATAACTCCAGACACAAGTGCAGGTGAGAAGCAGCATTTGCTCCTCTGCCACTCCTTGTAATTCGATCCAGTCTAGCTGAGTCCCAGCTTTGACATTGCTGGTTTCTGTCACTCGAGATCAGTCAGACCCACTGCCATTTGGGCCTGCCCCATCAACACATTTATCTGAAGACAGAGACTGAAACCTGGATTCCCTCCCAGGACTTAATATTCATAATGAGGAGCCTGACCTGTTGTGTAGTTGGCCTGGCAGCCAACTACTCAAAACAATATATGTGGTTTAACACATTATTATCAACAGGAACAAAATCAAAGCCAAAGCATGATCTCATTCTTCAATATAGCATATTAACTTATTAAAAGATTTAGCGTATTCCACCACGGAAGTGAATAATTAAATGAAAGATGACCAGTGCTTCCTCACATTTTATGTCCAGTTAGGGAAAGGGGGTATTAGTTTATATTACAGGAGAAAACATTGATTAGAAACTTTAAAATGAAAAACAGAACCTCCATACAATGCTATTGCAGTTCCAAAACAATTTATTCCATAACACATTCTCAGGAGATGTGTTTATTTTTAAACATAGATAATGATACATCCTTTGTAGTGTACTGACTGCCTGTTAAGTGTCTATTATTACAACTTGCAGGTATCAGGTACTTTAATACAAATAGCTAAATAAACTGACAAAGACAAATGAAGCCATAGAAGAAATTACTGAACATCTGCTATTGTGAATGAGTTTTTTTTATCTGTGACTGCACTCAAATTGTGGCAGTAGAAACTTTCAGCCACAGCATATTCCCTTGTGCTGCTGCCTTTTTATCTGCACAATAATATTATTTATAATTAAATATATGACTCTTTTAATTTTGACTGTCTAGTTCTGCAGATTGATCAGAAAACACAAGAGTAAGGCTGACCCAGCAGACTCTGATGACCATTTTGATTGACACTGTATGGTGGGGTGTTTGCACCTTTTATAAACTAAATGAGATGGAAAGTTTCTTTGGGTTTTGAAAGGGTAAGTTACTAAGAGTTCCAACCTACTACAACATGTGCAACAAGGAGATAGCACATCCCAACGGTGCAGGACACAGTCATCATGGGGAAACCCAACCTGAAACAACAATGAAATAAAGAAAAAATCAGTAAGAATACAATACTTTGTTCTCTAAGCAGGCTATGAGAAGGAAGTTTAACAGTTATCCTACATGTTCATAGCCCCAGATATGTTTACAGCAGTGCCAAAAACTCAGGGGTACTCCTAAATTATGACAATGACTAGGACGCTAAAATTCAAGTTTACATTTCTACTTACAGCCTATTAAAAACATGGATGGTCAACATCAGAATAATTTCATTGACTTCAATGTATCTTTTCCAATTTATGCTCAGAGACTAGCAAGCCTTCTTTTTGTTTGTTTGTTTGTTTGTTTTTGTTTTTTCAAGACCCTATGCAGTTGTACAGATAAAATAGCAATTCCTGGAAGTTATTCACCATTACAATAGATCATTCAGTATGTATCACTTCATATTATGTGTGTGCCCCTCATCTGGTGCTTATTCTTAATTTATGTCTGGAACTTCTTAAATTGTTCCCCTGTATGTTTCGAATGATTACATGGATCCCAATTTGTATTTAATCAGAATTGGAATCGGGATCAGGAGCCGAATCGGCATCCCTTTATTGCTCAAGTGAACACCTTATATATTAACACAATGTCTGCTAGAGCCAATCAGCTTTGGATTCATGACCTTGCAGATGCCAGTAATCAGCTGGCCCCGCACTGTCTCCAGCTACTCTCTAAAGTAAGAAGTTTTGCATGGGAACATCAAAAGGAGGACCAGTATGCACTGGTCCTTCAAGGTCATGGGAGAGTGCTGCTCTATCTCAAGCTGTACCGTCTCCCACACCTGTAGTTCTCTATTCATATAGAGAACTACTTTCCCACTTCTTCTCGGCCAGCGACAGAACAAAGGGTAATCAGTATAAATTAAAACACAGGAAGTTTCATCTTTGTGTGAGAAAGAATCTCTTGACTGTGAGACAGCCCTGGAACAGGCTGCCCAGAGAGGTTGTGGAGTCTCCTTCTCTGGAGATCTTCAAAACCCGCCTGGATGCCACCCTGTGCCACGTGCTCTAGCTGTCCCTGCTTGAGCAGGGGGGTTGGACTAGATGATCTCTAGAGGTCCTTTCTGTGGACCCTCAACCATTCTGTGATTCTGTGATATACTGCTAGTATTCATTCTCTATACCACTCACCAGCTTTAATATACTTGAATACTAATGGAAAAGAAATGTAATGTAGCTTTCTAGACTGTTGGAAATAATCTCCAGGCAGCTGTAAAAGTGTTAAAGCCTTGCCATCCTATCAAAAGAGTCATTTGTTTACCACCAAACTTTTCGGACAACACCTGATTTTATAGCTTTCCTTACAAACACAGGCAGCATGGAGTGGCAGCTGGAAAAGATGCTGCAGGGTCAGCTGTGTCCCGCTTTGCTAGATTCACAGGTCTCGCGTACTTGCGAACAGAAGGTGGTGAGTTTTCTGAAACTGCCACAACATTATTGTATAGTACTCAGGGACTGGGAAGAACCACAACTGTGATCATATTCATTTGTTTTAAATTACTAAAATCAAAAGGAGAATTGAGATGAGAAGCAGTCATAGCACTAATGACCTTCTGTATGTAATTGCTTTTGTCAAGGTCAGCCAAGACTTTGAGTATGCCTTATCAAAGCATGGCAATATTCTCTGAAGTACTGCATTTGATCTATTCTCTTCCTTGAAGCACATACTGCTTCTTATATGTGGGTATATTAGTTGTGTCCTTTGCATTGCTTGCTACAAGGCCTTGAGGAAATTCCAGGAACCCATTTCCCTTGGCCTTGCAAACCAGAGAGCTAATGAAGAAATGTCCATAGAACTGACAGGGGAGGGGACCATTTTCCTAGCTTGTGTGGATGAATAGCTTCTTTCTGTAGCTAGAAGCTGCAGCTAGAAGGGTCCTCTTGGGCCATTAGGACAGCCTCCCACTTCCTCAGCATGTGAAACCACATATATGAAATGAAATTTAAATTTCTGATTGGTTGAGTGCAGCCTGGCCACTCTCCCTCTTTCTATCTGCTACTGCAATATCACTCTAAATCTTGGGATCCTCCTGAGTCATGTTTCTTCCAGCATTATTTCATTGAAAGGCTGACTGATGCAGGCACAGATGCAATCAGCAGAACAGAGGTGCCCTCACCTTAACAGCCACCGTTTCAAAATATTGACAAGAGAATCTCACCAGGAACAGGGGACACTGCAAATACACAGAAACAAACAGCCCTGGGCTATAAAGCTTAAAGAATAATTAAGAAAGCAATAACATCCAAACACTCTAAAGAAAAAAAAAGCTGTAATTATTTAGTGAAAAGCAACCCTGTCCATGACACTTGTCTGTTCTTGATCCACCATCTTGATCCACTATTCAAGGGAGCCTGTAGACAGAGAAGCAAGCCAGGAACAACAGGAGACCCTTACAAGGCCTGAAAATATACAAAGGACAAGACCGGCAGGGCTGACATATCATCTCATTTCTCTCAATATCCCGCCAAAGAGAATCCTCACCGTGATGAAATACTGTGCCTAGAGGTCTGCCCTAGAAGGACAGTTCCAATTTCTGACTTCAGGGGCTTTCTTCCCCACTTCTCTTGCATTTAGGACCTGGTGTGCTGGCCTCTTTGGGCCTTCTGGTATCAGGCAGTAGCAGTACTATCAGTATTATCCCTTCAAAGGCATCAATTATTAAGTTTCTAATTGGAATTGGAAGAAGAGAAAGGAAGAGGAGGAGGAAAGGAAGAGGATGTGAAAAACATGGAGAATGGATAAAAAGGTTCATAAGATTATCACAGGTTTCAAGTATTTCCTGAGACATCTGAAATGCATTTGCAAATGTTCATTTATTTTTCTTTTTTGTTCAGATGAACAAGTGTATAAATACACTTCAGATAAGCACTATTTCTTTTCCACATCAACTGGTCAGACCCTTGCTTTTGAATGGCTCGTTACTCTAAAAGCTGAATCATTATCCAGTCACAAAATTATGATGAAGCTACAAAACAGGACAGCTAAAATATCTCTTAGAATTATGCTAGGGGGGAAAAAGAAGGCCAAAAAAAAAAAAAAAGATAGTTAGCTAATTGCTTTTCAGACCACAGTGACTCTTTTCTAGCTCCTCTTAGCATACCTGATCTTTGACCCTCCCTAATCTCCCTTATATAAAAGTGTCCAGATAGGGCAAAAAACAGAAATGGAAATGATTGTAGGAATAAAATAGCATGGTTTAAAAATCCTTCTACAGACCGCAATATATCTGATGAATGTTCCCTGCAGCTGTATCCACATGACAGGCTGGTGAACCGGAGATTGCTACAAGTCCCATAAGAAAACAGGCTGTTATTTGACAGAAAACAGACTGTTATTGACCTCACAGTTAGCAAACAATAAACTGGTACTGGGAGGAGTGAGGAGAGCACAGATCTTAATCTGTGCTAATACAGCCCAACAAATCTCCCAGGAGAAGGCACAGCACCTCAGCAGTGAATGGCAATATAACCCATTCTGCCTTTGTGCAGAGAGGCAAGAGGAGCGAAGAATAAGAACAGATTCAATGGCTACTCTACCGTTAAAAAGGAGAACAGAAAAACTCATTCCAGCTCAAAGGAGGTCTGTGCAACATATGGATGAATTACACAGGACAACATGCAATCATGTAAGAATAGTAATCAGAGCCCCCCACTATCACAGTGCGAGTCTTGTTTGCAGCTGGAACTATGCACAGCCATCCTGGGTAGGTAGCTCATTTCATTTATTTATCTTGGATATTTGCATAAGGCCCAACTATGAAGCCATTATTCTCACTGCATGGATGATTACCCCTTAACTTCAGAACTGGATTTCAGGCCCATTGGTCTGAGCACTAAAATAATTAGTTTAAATCCACTTTTGAATCTGTGTAGCAAGGAGAGGGAAGAGATAATACTAAGTGAGCCAGTGAATATTAGTTACTGAATGGTTAATCAATTACCTGAGTCAGTCTGGTGTCCAAACACTACCTTTTGCACCCCCAAAATGACAATACAACTCCTGTCCCAGGCTACTTAAAATGTAATGTTTAGGTACCTGAGTCTTCTTACAGCAAACCTAGGAGCACATTTTAAAAAAACACAAAAATACTTCTACGAATTCTCATTTTCAGCATGTTACTCAAAATCAAACATAGAACATCTCCTACTCATAAAAAAACAATCAATCAGCAGAGCTTTGAAATTATAAAAAGCTTTTCTTGAACTAAAAATTCAAACTATTGAGAAACTGAAATTTTGGGTATAAAATCACACTTTTGTCCAACCTTGTAACCCATCTGACACAATTTTTTTCTAAACAAAGCAGGAGAACAGGGTAAATATGTCCTATCTTGAGCCAGTCTTCTATTTCCTTCTCCCACACTGCAGACAGTATGGGACAGACAGACCGACACTGCAGATGTATGCAAATGGAACAAAAGGTCTGTCCTGACCTCACAGCCATCTCAGGGAGACTATACCTGAGTTTTCACTGCTGGAGAGGAAGAAGTCACCTACAAGAAATAAAAGGCTTTAACCCTCTCCCCCCTGTCTCTTCCCTCATTTTCTTCTTACTAGAAATCTACACCTAAAACTGCAGTCTAGATGAAATCACACACCTTAAATATTAGCAGATATTAGTTCTCTGTGAGATAGTGAGGACATTTCAAGTGAGACCCACGGGCATTTCTCTTGAACAGTTTTACTTATTAATAAATTCAGCGATCCAATAGGGAGAAATATTGCAAATCACCCCACTGTGGCAGTCAGGAGACTTTGTGGAGAACAAAATTCAGCATGTTCTTAACAGAGTCAAGTGAGAATGTGAAATGAACAAGATTAAACTCTATAAAGGTAAAGATGAAATACATACTAAGAGAAGAAAAACAAGGGCACAAAAACAGCCAGTGATTTTTTGTTGTTGATAATGACCTATTTATGCTTGATCCTTCTTGGGTGCAAGGTTTCTGGTTCTGTATTACTTAGAAAATAAGGAAATTTCTATG